TTCGATAATATTTTACACTCGATTATACAAAGTGGTCAATTTTAATATTTTTAATCGAGTCTCCCCCTCCCCCTGGAAGCTAAAAGCCACCTATCGACAACGCCATCTCTAAATTTTAAGAACACTCGAACAATAATTACAACGCGATCTCCATTTTGTATTTTACAGTTTCGATAATAATTTTAATCGAGCTTCCCCTCACCCCCTGGAAACCAAATGTCGCCTATTAACAACGCCATCTTTAAATTTTATGAACACTCGAACACTAATTACAACGCGATCTCCATTTTGTATTTCACAGTTTCGATAATATTTTACACTCGACCGGAAAAGCGTTCCCTCAGTTCGGAATAATATATTTCTTAATTTAGCCCCCCGCAGCTAGCCTAGTTGGCGCGGGTCCAAGGGTTAAACGTACGTGCCTGAAAATTGATGAATCGACTTTCATTCTTCTCGTCTCGACTCGAAATCACTCGCAGCAATCACGGGAATGAAAATTTGATAGTTTCGTAACAAGCGGATTATTAATTTCCATCTAGGAATTCTAGAGCCAGCGCCATCTTGGCGTTCGCTATTTATTCGAATATTGGTCGCGGGGAGGCTGGAAATGTTCACCGCGCGGGCCTTAAATCTCATAAAAGTTTTCGCCCCGGGATCTAAAGCCGTAACTTTAAGGGGGAGAGAGTTTTAAGCGCGCCATTCTATAGAAACACTTTTTTAAAGAGTGTCCTTAGTCCAGTGAGGATCTATTTAGTTACACGCGGAAGGTGTGTATGTGCTTTTGAGGAACGAGTGGAGCTACGCGTTTCGTGAAAAACTCAGTCGAGAGTCGGGGGGCTATGAAAGAGTGTGGATACGTGAAAATTGACCCGTAAAGTGCACCGGCGAGATTCGCGGAATCAAAAAGAGATTTCTTATCCTCATTCTCTTCGCGTCATCCAGTTATCAAAACCAGACCACAACTTTCGTTTCATTTTCTTTTCTCATAAATAGACTACGGATGTTTATGCACTTGATATGCAAAAATATAAGAAATACGAATTATTATATTTAAGGGTTGAGACAACCATCTACAATTCTCCCATTTTATTAATTCTATTAATAAAAATATGAATTTGCATAAAGATCGGCAGTCTACTCATAAACAACGTATAAATTCCTCTCCTTGGAAGGCATAGTTAATAAAATTTTTAGATCCTCTCTCGAAGAACACTTTGAGGTTAGAAAAAACCTCGTTGATACTTTTCTCAATGAAATTGTTGTGAAGAAAACTTTCTCCACCATTAAGAATAAATTGCACATTCACGGTAGCCATGGTTTGTTAAATATTCAAACGATTAAAAAGTTTCGTGACACCTCGAGCCGCCATCTTGTATCCTTCTTTATTTCACGAAGTATCCGCGTCCTCGGGGGAGAAAATTAATTTTAATCTCCGCGTTAATGGGTCTTTTTTTTCTGACGATTTCGTTTAAAAAATTATACACGAGGTCGTCCGACCTCAAATATTCTCGAGGATCGAAAAGTGGAGTTGGAAAGTTTCGCCCGGGAACTTAAATATTACTTTCTTTGTGCTTCCCCGGGCCGTTTATTAAACGTCTTTATTACGAAAAACGCTCAGACACGGGTACATAATTTCGCGGGCAAACACAACGAAGGGATGTATAAATGCGTGGAAGTGCCATTATTAAACTCTAGCTAGAAGTTATCCTACAAAGGAGAGCTCGATCGCGAGGATACTCCGTTGCAATTACTTTATTCGTATCTTTTTCTTGGCTTAACGCGGAAGAAATTGACGGAGCAGGAATCTGAATGCTTAATTTCCTGGAAAAGTGCCTTTCCTGCGACTGATACGCAGACGCGGAATATCGTTATCTTTCGTCCAAGAAATTTACAATTTTTCAAATTCACAAGATCATCGATAACAATTAAAACAGGATAATCTTTTGAGTGTTCGATAAAGGTGGATATTTAAGGGTTAGGTGAACGCCGAGTGAACGATAAAATTATATGAAGGAGCTCTTTTGATATTTTAAAAGTGGCTCGAAGGAAAAAGTGTGCAAATTGGTTGTTACAAGAGGATAATGATCCCAAACAAGAGTCGCCAGACAATGGGGAGCAGAAAATGGCATTAAAGTATTGGATCCGTTATTCCCGGGAAGTCGCCAAACGCGAATCCAATCGAAAACGTGCGAAGAGGCTGAATATAAAACAATTAACTGGACGGGTGCAGTTAATATGCAGATCCCCGGTTCCGAGGACACGCGATTTAGTTAAACGAAAGCACTGTTTTCCAAACGTTCGCGTTGTAAGGCAATTTTCAACGAAAACTGCGACATTTTGTTGGAACTTTGCACCCTTGTCGATTTAATTATTCGGTTTATTACTCAGGAATTTTTGGAATATTTATTAAAGTTTTATTATTATCTAGAAATGTAATTTTAATCTATCGAGTCTCACTAGGGCGTACAGTGAAGTAAAAGGAAGGCCCAAGGTTCGATTCCCGATAACTACCCTAAGTTTTTTTCTCTTATTATAGATTTTGATTAATGGAATGCTAATTAACGTTTAAAATAAGTGGTATAAAAATAACAAAATTTGCAATTGAATTACTTTTAAAATGAAGAAAAATTTCTGTTACAAATAAAGATATTTTATTTAAGGGGGGAGTCTCATGTGAATGATGGAAAATTGAACCATTTTTCTTAATTTTTTTTTTTAAGGAAATGTTACATCTGACGTTATACGAAATGTTCTACAATCCACAATACTTGACATTTATCTCTCAAAATTTAACAGTAGATTCTTAAATATATATTCAAAAAATGAAGTAAAAAAAAAAAAATGATATTTTTGAGGTCTCACATGAGATGAATTTGACTATTTATATTTATCTATATTAGGAGAAAAACACTTATGTAATTTTGAAAAATTGAACTTTGGACCTTACAGGGTAGGAGTCTCTTTACTATCACACCCCATAGTGGTAATTCAGACTTAATAAATTAAAATTATATTTCTAGCTAATAATGAAATTTTAATCATTAATATTTAAAAAATTATCGAGTGTCTGTAATTTAAGTTTTAACAAAATTGATGGCTCGAAGGCCTTGCCCTTTCCTTCTATATGGAATCTGTGAAATTATTTTTACACTCGTACAGCGAGTAGTTATTAAACAATTTCAGCCACTCTCTCGCTGGGCTGGCATTAAACGCGAGGTCCACGGGTCTCTAATTGGTCTACAATGAGGTCATGAGTCTTTAGTTGAACCATTAACGGATTATGGATCTCCAGTTGGGACGCCATCGCGTCTTATTCGCATTTATCTTCATACCATCGGACCACAAACTAACCTTTACGACACGATTCGTCGCGACCGCGATATTATACATTTCGTAGGTCCATAAACTCGTATTTTGCACCACTTTTAAGAGGGGAAACCACCGCGATGCCTGAAAATAGAGGCAATTTTCAAGAATCTTTTGCCCGTAACTATGAAACTTCTGACAAATGTTTAACCAGTTAAGTGTGTGTGTGTTGACTATATCCGTCATACGTAAAATTTTGTTGTAATTTGATATTTAATTCATGAATTTTAATTCAAATTTTAATATGTTTGAAATGTTTGAAACAAACAAATAATAATTATAAATAATATAAAAAAAACCGGTTGAAATGTTTAAAACAAACAAATAATAATTATAAATAATTAATATAAAAAAAACCGCATATACTACGAATTAGTTTTCGTAAATGTATCATTGTCTTTTATCAGTCATCACAAAAGCAATTAGGGGTCCAAATATTCATTATGCATTGTACCATGCTTTGCTCAACACCATTCTCTGACAGCAAGTTAAAGTAAGAAATTGATTATTCATGTTTTTCTTTCCGTTCACGTGCAAAATATTTATGTTAATTTAAGTAAATAAATAAAAAAAATAAAAGTCATTTTATTAGAATCTAATTTCATAATACACAGTTGACTGGTTAATGTTAACGAAAGTACATTCCTTGGACTTTGTAGAAATTTCGTATAAAAATATTAATTATTCCAGATAGGGGTGAGAGGCCTCAAAAAATTTCTTAAAAACGAACTGAAGTGTAATTTTTCACCGTAAATTGTATGAAACCATGCAATTTTCTGAAACTACAATTTTTAATATAAAATTAAAAATTATATTTAATTATCATTTTCATTGGATATATGAAAATTTTTCTATTATTAAATAACTTTTTTTGATACCATAAAATGGCCATAAAATATCATTAATATTATTATACCATATAAAATACCATTTCATAAGAATTTTATTGTATATTATTTGAAGATATTATAAGACAGTAGCTTCAGTTACTCCAGCAGATGTCGCTGGTTGACCATGCAATTATCTCTATATGTACTAACATTTGCAAATTTCTTTCTTTAATACTTTATCATTTTTAAAACCCTCGAAGCATCGAAAAGAGATCTGAAAAATTCCAATTTTTCCAATTCATCATATGCAATGACGAGGGTTGGTGAGATTTGGAACGCCCTTGTATAATTATCTTCCATTCTTCGACAAGGTGTTCCGTATCGTGGTGTTTCCCATCGTTTCCCCGTGATCCGTGCAACGCGTAGGAAATCGAGCGCGTCGCTGCACTTACATAAAGGTATGATTCCACTGAGGCAACACTATGCGACTTGTAACATGTCACATGTTCGGTAACACTATGCTACCTGTAGCATGCTACTTGTCATTAACTGACGACATTGCTCGACATGTTCAATCTTGTCGATTCGACAAAACAATATCAAATAATCCCGCGTTTCTTTATTTCGGAAAGGAAACAAATGAATGTGTAGCAAATACACATGTCAAGTGTCTACAATAACGTCGATTTCATGTTGCATGCGTCGTAATCGCATGCGACATGTTGCCTTAATAAAATTGTATTTAGTCGCATCGCATGCTACATGTTGCCTCAGTGGAATCACGCCTTAAGAAAAGAAACTCACCGAGGACGAGAACGCGTGGCTCGGCGGCGGCGTAAGGGTGCATCAAGGGTAAGGTCGAGGGTAGCATCGTGTTCTGCATCGTTGGCTGCGAGTCTATAAGCCGTTCCTGGTTCTGGGGCCTCGGAGGACTACCGCTCCTGGGCACGTCGAAGGACGTGAGCGTGTGCGACCTCGCGAAGCTCACGTGTTTCGTTTTCGGGGCTTGCGACGAGGGCGGCGGGGGTGCAGGGGGCAGTACCGGCCGGGGACCCTCGAGTTTCGTCGATTCCTCATCCTCCGGAAGCCAGGTGTACCTTCGACGAAGAAAAAACTTTGAAAAACTCATCCCTTCCTCCACTTCCGGGTCAATCGAGTCGCGAGTAAGCACATCCGGGGGGGGGGTGGTTTAACCTAACTTCTGCTGGAACTTTGTTGCGTTTCAAAATTCGACGGATTTCGTGTTTATATTGGAGGAGAGGGGGCAGATTATTCATTTTTGCTAATTTATTCGGTTCATACGCGAGACACCGTTTATTGCGAATTTAAATGGAGGGGGCACTAACGGAGACCCTTCTTTGTGAATTTTTTACTCTTTCCGGATGCTAGTGGTGGCAGGGTTTTTCGAAATTTGCATAGTTGTTTGTACGTAGTTCGAGAAACTGTATTTTGTTGCAGGGAAATATTAATTTTATGGGAGGGATGTGTTTATTAGTGTGTTGTTGAATGCATAGTTCTTTGGATTTTAATGGAGGTTGTTGATTTTATATGTTGGAAGAATAAGGATTGTAGGTGATGTAAGCTGCTTTACTACTTTCTGTTGAAATGTAGAGAACAACTGAGTTAAAGTTTGTTTGGATTGGATGACGATGATTGTAGTTATAGGGAAATCACAAACATACAGAATTTTTATTTTATTAAGAATTGTAACCAATACAAGTAGCTTATACCTTCTGTAGAAATGCAAAGAACAACTCACAATCAGTAAAATGTTATTCGAATTAGATGGTAATACGATGGTAGTAGTTGTAGGGAAATCACAAACACACAGACTTTTTATTTAATTAAGTATAGTACCCAATACAAGTAGCTTAAACTTTCCGCCGTAATGTGAAGAACAACTGAGTAAAATTTTATTCGAATTGGACAACGATGGCAGTAGTTATAGAGGAATCACAAACACACAGACCTTTTGTTTTATTAAGAATTGTAACCAATATAAGTAGCTTATATTTTCCGTGGAAATGTGAAAAACAACTCAGTAAAATTACATTCGAATTGTACAACGATGGTAGTAGTTGTGGTGAAATCACAAAAACACAGAGATTTTGTATTTTATTAAGAATTGTATCCAATACAAGTAGCTTATACTTTCCGTCGAAATGCGAAGAACAACTCATTAAAATATTATTCAGATTAGATGGTAATACGATGGTAGTAGTTGTAGAGAAATCACAAACACACAGACTTTTTATTTAATTAAGTATAGTACCCAATACAAGTAGCTTAAACTTTCTGCCGTAATGTGAAGAACAACTGAGTAAAATTTTATTCGAATTGGACAACGATGGCAGTAGTTATAGAGGAATCACAAACACACAGACCTTTTGTTTTATTAAGAATTGTAACCAATATAAGTAGCTTATATTTTCCGTGGAAATGTGAAAAACAACTCAGTAAAATTACATTCGAATTGTACAACGATGGTAGTAGTTGTGGTGAAATCACAAAAACACAGAGATTTTGTATTTTATTAAGAATTGTATCCAATACAAGTAGCTTATACTTTCCGTCGAAATGCGAAGAACAACTCATTAAAATATTATTCAGATTAGATGGTAATACGATGGTAGTAGTTGTAGAGAAATCACAAACACACAGACTTTTTATTTAATTAAGTATAGTACCCAATACAAGTAGCTTAAACTTTCCGCCGTAATGTGAAGAACAACTGAGTAAAATTTCATTCGAATTGTACAACGATGGTAGTAGTTGTGGGTGAAATCACAAAAACACAGAGATTTTGTATTTTATTAAGAGTTGTATCCAATACAAGTAGCTTATACTTTCCGTCGAAATGCGAAGAACAACTCATTAAAATATTATTCAGATTAGATGGTAATACGATGGTAGTAGTTGTAGAGAAATCACAAACACACAGACTTTTTATTTAATTAAGTATAGTACCCAATACAAGTAGCTTAAACTTTCCGCCGTAATGTGAAGAACAACTGAGTAAAATTTTATTCGAATTGGACAACGATGGCAGTAGTTATAGAGGAATCACAAACACACAGACCTTTTGTTTTATTAAGAATTGTAACCAATATAAGTAGCTTATATTTTCCGTGGAAATATGAAGAACAACTGAGTAAAATTTCATTCGAATTGTACAACGATGGTAGTAGTTGTGGGTGAAATCACAAAAACACAGAGATTTTGTATTTTATTAAGAATTGTATCCAATACAAGTAGCTTATACTTTCCGTCGAAATACGAAGAACAACTGAGTAAAATTTTATTCGAATTGGACAACGATGGCAGTAGTTATAGAGGAATCACAAACACACAGACCTTTTATTTTATTAAGAATTGTAACCAATATAAGTAGCTTATATTTTCCGTCGAAATGCGAAGAACAACTCAGTTAAATATTATTTGAATTGGTCAATGATGACAGTAGTTATAGAAGGATCACAAACACACAGACTATTTATTTTATTAAGAATTGTAACCAATATAAGTAGCTTATACTTTCCGTCGAAATATGAACAACAACTCAGTACAATTTTAATTGCATTGAACAACGATAGTAATAGTTATGGTGTAATCACAAACACACAGAGATTTTGTATTTTATTAAGAATTGTACCCAAGAATAGCTTATAGTTTCCGTCGAAATATGAACAACAACTCAGTACAATTTTAATTGCATTGAACAACGATAGTAATAGTTATGGTGTAATCACAAACACACAGAGATTTTGTATTTTATTAAAAATTGCACCCAACAGTAGCTTATACTTTCCGTCAAAATATGAACAACAACTCAGTAAAATATAATTCGAATCGAACACCGACGACAGTAGTTATAGAGGAATCACAAACACACAGACTTCACTTCGTCCTAATAATCGATATTCGAGTTTCTCTGTGACTCGACCGTGCGAGCTAATTAGTGGACAAAAATTTATCTTCGTACGATGACACTCACTTTTTAATAACAAACGGGAGAAACGAGAGTGGGAGGGAGAGAGAGACGTTGGTACACACGATGGCTACATTCTCATTCCCATTGTTGTCGGCCACAAGCCGATCTCACGTGTGACAGGTATTATCTGGAGAAAAGTGGGTGACGGCGTGACGCGTTGCTTCTGCGACGCTGAAACAACGACCTAAATAAATTGCATTTAGATTTCAGCTCTGTCTTCGAGGATGCGTTATTATTCCATCTTTGCCGCCGTGATTCCCTTCCAATTTTAATAAAGCAAATCCTCTTTCTGCTTTTACGCGTTGGCAAAGTCTCCTTGCAGCTTATTATGACCGTTCCTCGTCCGCGAATAATGAAATTTTTTTTTTCGAAATAAAAATAAAAATATCGAAATACTTGGAACAAGGGAATTGTCCTCGTCCTTCACGATATTAATTTTAATTATATAGAATTTTTTTTTTTGCAATTGTGCTAGATTATTCTCTTTGATGCTGCGTGTAGTAGTACTGGCTGATATTTGTTTTCTATCCCGGCATCTTGGCACGCCTTTACCGCATTTACACCTGCAGTTCTCGCGTCGATGCGCCGATAACGTATAAATACATCAATTTACCCCGGGGAACATAATTTTTCATCGATCGTTTACACGCAACCTTGAAACTACGTCGTCATTAAAGCATTCTGAGCACTATTCTCGACGATCTATATAAATAAAATTGCATCTTTACAACATGTCCACAGTCCACTATTTTAACGAACTATAACACGACCTACCATCCATGGAAAATTTTATAACAAGCATCAAGATTAAATTTTAAAAATCTATAAAAATTTTCGGTACACAGAAGGGCTAAAAAAGAAGCAATTCGAAGGCGTAAATGGGGGGTACCAGGTAGCTAGGGACAAACTGAATCATTCAACGCGCCATCGAATGGAGTAATCTCTACTTCTTTTCGAGCTTTTCATGGAAAATTTTGAGAAAAGCGTCGAGATCAAATTTAAGAAATCTATACAAATTTTCGATACACAGAAGGGATAAAAAAGAAGCAATTCGAAGGCGTAAATGGGGGGTACCAGGTATCCAGGAACAAACTGAATCATTCAACGTGGCCATCGAACCTGTAATCTCCATTTCCTTTCGAGCTTTCCATGGAAAATTTTGAGACAAGCGTCGAGATTAAGTTTAAAAAGTCTAAATGGGGGGTACCAGGTAGCCCAGGGATAAATTTTTCGAGCTTTCCATGGAAACCCTCGAACAACGACGCATATAACAAACACATTACGAGCCACGTAAGCTCCCTCTTAAGATTTTATCGTGGCTGTGCGCTTTATGTCTCAGGTTAAGTGGTTAATTTTCCTTTCTGCCACTCGGGGATATTTATGTCGTCGAATCACAGCACCGTGAAAGAGCAGATATTTTCTGCGGGGGGGGGGCAGTAAATCTCTTTACACTCCATGAACGTTGTCGTCGTTATAGCGAGCACAGTAGTAAATGCACTGTACTACTGATGATTAACGCGTCATGAGACGGAGGATGCTCGTTTCAGCTCGCGCTACCAGATCGATGTAGAGCGAATTAAGCGAAAGAAGAAGATAATTGTTTTTAACACTTTGACCGCCACGTCAAACCCATATATAGCTGACAGGATTCACCATTGTGATACTAGAAAAATTGATTCTCAAATTAAGACGTCCAGGGAAATAAGTTTGAATAGAATTAAGGTTACGATAATAACTGCTGAAACAAATTTTAGGTTATGTAGCTTACAATGGTCTGAAATCAACGTTTCACTTTTGCAGAACGTGTTAAAGAAACTCCATTGCAAAATCTAAGCACAATTCTTATGGACGATTGTCGAGTCTGAAGCTCAGAATGAAATAGGAATTGTTCTTTTATTTCTTTTTGTGTTTATGGTATGATTGTTGTAAATTGTTAATTTGGTTTGTCCATACAGTAGCTTATTCCCGGATGATTTCTGTGGAAATACAACAACCACAAGCTATCGGAAATACTAAGTAATATCGCTGGCGACATGATAAAATATGAACGTCGCCAGTATTCGAGCGACGCGTCCCCTGTGAGTTCTACGTGTCACCCAGATATGGGTGACATGGTAGTCAACGTGTTAAGAGCAACCATTATTTCAGAGGCCAAAAATAAGGCCAACACCTGGGATTTACGAAAAATTCATTTCTCATTTTTTCGTCATTTTGTTTGACGACTTACGGAAAAGTTGTCTAATACTTTTGTGTAGGTACCTAGGAGCTCTAGTTCCCCTAAAAATTTCATTGAAATATATTCACTATTGTAGGAGTTATGGTCGTTTTAGAATTTGGACCATTTTTATGGGGGGTTTGTCACTTTACGGGGTTAAGGAACAACTTTTCGAATATTTTTAGAATTTCTATATATTCTTCATCAAGATACGCGTTGTTTGCCGTTTGAAACATTAAAATCCTCAAATCCGTTCAGAAGTTATGACATTTTAAACATTCGCCTGAAATTTAAGGGGAATTGGTCAGACATTAGTCAGACGTATTTTCGGTAAAGAATTTTTTTCTCGAAAGTGCGTAGGATTTCGGGGGTGTGTGTATTCACCAAAAATGATTGTAATCCATCCCCATAACTAAAAATAATTTGTTTAGAACAATCTGACATTTTTTAATTTTGTCGAAATATTTCGGTTCCTACTCGAATTTTTTTCTCGAAAGTGGGTAGGATTTCGAGGATATGTCTATTCACTAAAAATGCTTATATTTGACCCAAGTAGCTAAATATAATTTTTTTTAAACGATTAGAAACATTTCAATTTCGTCGAAACATTTGTCCATCTAGTCGAATTTTTTTCTCGGAACTGTGTAGGATTTCGGGGGTATGTCTATTCATAAAAAATGATTGTAATTGACCATAGTAGCTAAATATAATTTTTTTAGTATGATTGGAAATTTTTTAATTTCGTCCAAAAATTTCACACCTTCTCGAATTTTTTTTTTGAAAGTGGGTAGAATTTCGGGGGTATGTGTATTCACCAAAAATGCTTGTAATTGACCCCTGTAACTAAATATAATTTTTTTAGTATGATTTGAAATTTCTTAATTTCGTCCAAAAATTAAGGCACCTACGCCCTGTCGATTTGTCTTAGAAATTCGTTTTTGATTTTTAGTAATTTTATTTGATGCACTACGCAAAACTTGTCTAATACTTTTGTGTAGGTACCTAGGAGCTCTAGTTCTCCTCAAAATTTCATTTAAATATATTCACTATTGTAGGAGTTATGGTCATTTGAAAATTGGTCCATTTTTAAGGGGGGTTTTTTCACTTTACGGTGTCAAGGAGCAACTTTTCGAATATTTTTAGAATTTCTACATATTCTTCACCAAAATACGCGTTGTTTGCCGTTTGAAACATTAAAATCCTTCAATCCGTTCAGAAGTTATGGCATTTTAAAGATTCGCATGAAATTTAAGGGGAATTGGTCAGACATTGGTCAAACATTGTATTTTCAGTAAAGAATTTTTTTCTCGAAAATGCGTAGGATTTCGGGGGTTCGTGTAATGACCAAAAATAATTGTAATTGTCCCCTGCAACCAAAAATAATTTTTCCAGAACGATTTGAAATTTTTTTTCCCGTCAAAAAATTTCACACCTTCTCGAATTTTTTTCTAGAAAGTGAGTAGGATTTCGGGGGTATGTGTATTCACCAAAAATGATTGTAATCCACCTCCACAATTAAAAATAATTTTTTGAGAATGATTTGAAATTTTTTAATCACTTTTTAACGAAGCCTCGATCAAGAAATTGATATTCTCGATTTTCGTCTTATTTCAGCTTCTAAAGTCTCCCATTAAAATTTTTCCCAGGGGCATCCAAACACCCTGTATACGCTCCTCGATCATCCAATATCCCAGCGTCGAGAACCTGCTAGAATTATTGCATTCAGAGATTTGAAGGCAACTTTCTACAAAGCTATCAATTCACATTAATAAAAATGGGGAATCTAATAGTACAACAACACCCCCAGTGGATAAGAAATCGAAATTACATCTGTTAGGATGTCGATCGCGTTTGGAAAATGAAAATAGCAAATGCCGGTTTCAGGGGCTTTTCCCTTTTCCTCGTCGACTGGTAGGAATCAAGTTTCCCTGGGATGGTTAGGGGGATTCCATAAATAAAATTAGAGCTTACCTCTTCGGATCGGAGACGGTGCAGAAGGATCTGGGTCGTCGCCGGAAGTAGGAACTCTCGATCCAGTCGGCCTCGTCCTCGAAGTCGTAACGGTACAAGCCCCTCGGATAGCTCGGGTGAGGCTGACGGTACATGATCTGCAGGGGTCGTCGGGGATAGGGGGCGTCGCAGAGGTTCTCGTCGCTGGGCACGCTTCTTACGCAAGCGGATAGTATCGAGGTACGCGCGTTGCTGCAAGGGGACGGGCCGCGGGTCGACAGGCAACCGAAGAACCCGCCCTCGGATTTCTCGACAGCGTCCAATTGCCGGCTGGTTATGCAATACTGCTCTTTGATGTCCTCGCGGGAGTAGAGCGGGGTCGCACGGCGATCCCAGTCGATGCTAATGTTGCCGCCGGATGCGCCGAAACCGCCATGGAGATCCACCTGGGTTGAGACGTCCACCTGTCATGCACACAAGGTTTAGTTTAATTAGTGGAAAATCGATGGAGGACGCGTCGCTGTTTGATTGATAGCGGCCCGCGTAAAACTAATTTCGTGGCGCGCGGACGAGGGAGTCAAGTTTTGTTTCGAATCTGTGTCTCCAGGGGCACGAATATTATATTATATATTGTGTTAAATCAATTTTTCTCGTCTCTCAGGGGAGCTAACATTTTTTATAATAAAATATGGGAATCTTTTTTTATAATAAAATATGGGAATCTTTTTTTATATATAAGAGGTAATCTTGCTACTTGGAATTTTGGAAATTGGGAAAATAGGTTTCTCTAATGGGTAGCTATTTTTTTTTTTTTGGATCAGGTATTCTTGATACTTGGAATTTCGAAAATTAGTAAAATTGATTATTTCACTAGTCAGTTACTTTTTTTTTATGTGAAATTTGGTATTCTTTTGCTACTTGGAATTTCAGAAATTTAGTAAAATAGGTTTCTCCAATAACCAGCTAATTTTTATTATATCAAATTTGGTATTCTTGCTACTTGGAATTTCAGAAATTAGTAAAATAAATTATTCCACAGGGCCAGTTATTTTTTTATATAAAATTTGGTATTCTTTTGCTACCTGAAATTTCGAAATTTAGTAAAAAGAATTATTCCACAAGTCAGTTATTTTTTTTATATAAAACTTGATATTCTTTTGCTACTTGGAATATCGAAATTTAGTAAAATATATTATTTCACAGGACAGTTATTTTTTTATATCAAATTTTAATATTCTTTTGCTACTTGGATTGTCAGAAATTAGTAAAATAGGTTTCTCCAATAACCAGCTATTTTTTTTTTATATCAAATTTAATACTCTTGCTACTTGGAATTTCGAAATTTAGTAAAATAGATTATTTCATAAGCCAGTTATTTTTTTATATAAAACTTGGTATTCTTTTGCTACTTGGAATTTTGAAAAATCAGTAAAATAGATTTTTCCAATAACCCACTATATTTTTTTATATCAAATTTGCTACTCTTGCTACTTGGAATTTCGAAAATTAGTAAAATAGATTATTCCACAAGCCAGTTATTTTTTTATATAAAATTTGGTATTCTTTTGCTACTTGGAATTTCGAAATTTAGTAAAATAGATTATTCCACAAGCCAGTTATTTTTTTATGTCAAATTTGGTCGTCTCTTGCTACTTGGAATTTCGAAAATTAGTATTATAGATTATCCCACAAGCCAGTTATTTTTTTTATATAAAACTTGGTATTCTTTTGCTATTTGGAATTTCGAAAATCAGTAAAATATATTTCTCGAATAACCAGCTATTATTTTTATATTAAATTTGGTGCTCTTCCTACTTGGAATTTCGAAAATTAGTAAAATAGATTGTTCCATATTGAATTCGATTGTAGATCGAGAGCGTCGCGTAGTCGATCGGTGAGGGCGCCACCATAATGCAAGCGGATGCGCCATCTTGATTAGTCAGTACGTCTCGCGACACGCGAGAGAGGAGATGTATCGAAATACAGTTTTCTTATAAAAGGTTATCTCCTGCCACGTACATCATCAACACTCCACAAATGAGTTATTTTTTTATATAAAATTTGGTATTCTTTTGCTACTTGGAATTTCGAAAATTAGTAAAATAGATTTTTCCAATAGTTAGCTATTTTTTTATATAAAATTTGCTCATTTTGCTATTTGGAGTGTTGAAATTTGCTCTGTTTGCTATTTGGAGTGTTGAAATTCGCTCAGTTTACTATGTGTTGAAATTTGCTCATTTTGCTATTTGGAGTGTTGAAAATTAGTAAAATATGTTTCTCCATTAGCCAGCTATTACTCATTTCTTTGCCATTAAAGGTGGCCTTGAATCTCAAGGTCACGTTGACCAACAGTATTTAATTTGCAACTCGATGTTTTTCAAGCTTTTTTCGTTTGTTCATCGCAATGTTCCCGTACATTATTAACCCCTTCCAGTACTTTAACCCTTTGCGGTCCTATGTCGAGTGTGACTCGACATCGCGTTTCGTTCTGCCGCGTCCTATGTCGAGTTTGACTCGACATCGCTTTTCGTTCTGCCGCGTCCTATGTCGAGTGTGGCTCGACATCGCTCTGTGTTCTGCGGCGTCCTGTATCAAGTTTCACCCGACTATATCTCAATTTTAAACTAAACGAGATAAGATAAGAGCTACAGTGTAGTAATTCTGAAATAAACCATGCATCTTGAACTTAAGGGCTTAATTTTAGTCTTTTCAAACCCACCGTGGCGTACAGTTCAATTTTATTTTATATATCTACTAATTCATAAGTACGTTTCGTTAGTAAGGTCATAAATGTTTTCCAAAGTAAACGCTACCAAGCGGATAAGCGATTGGTGAAATCTGTGCGGACCGGTTGGTACGCACTTGCGAATCCAGCGCGGACCTGCTGGAACGAAACGGTGAAGAGCTCTCGGTCCGCAAAGGGTTAACCTCTTAGCTTACAATGGCGTCTCAGAGACGTGATAAGTCTTCCGGGGCCAAACATGAATAAGACGTTTCAGATATGTGATAAGTCTTCCAGGGCCAAACCTTGGTGTTTGGCACTTACAGTTGGAAATTAAATCGTAAGGCAAGGGTTTAACGAGTTTGATTTGTAATGAAGATTTTGGCCCAAAGCGGAATATCACGAGTCTAACACAGACTCGCGAACAGAAGGTTGTCCCAAAGGTAAGCATGACGAACCAAACTCGAGGACAGCAAATCACGATCATGATTGAGTATTAGTTCCTATCGATACGTTGCAATAGTCACAATTCTTATAATCTTCGTTACAAAGCAATCTAGCATCAATCTGGTCTGTTTACCACGCGTTTACACCTACCATTTGGGCCCAGATTTCGTCCAGCTAAATGGTCATGGAAGGAGCTAACAACTCCCAGTTCAATTTTGAAAACTAATACATCACTCCTGACGTGCCAGGTAAACTAATTTAATTTATAACAATTCCTGATCGCGGACGAAGGAGATATCGGATTATCGATGTCATCGAGCCACATCGAGTGGAAGTTCTCGCGAGGAAAGTTCGCTGAGCGACACGTGTCGATTCCGATTAAATTTTCGATAGGAAGAACTCCCTTTTCCCGGCGATTACAATCCCAAAGTTTCCACCGTAAACAGAAGGAATTGCGATCGTTGACAAAAATATCTGCCCGTCGGGGCTGTGTTTAATCACGGAACGACAATGCCGAGCGTTGTCGCGACGCCATGTGCACGGTTACAAGTTAAAAAATTTCCGAGTACCTTTTATGCCACTCGACATCGCCGCGAATCGCGCGTACGGGACACATTACTGTGTCAAGTGTGAAACACTCAACCCAGCTACGCATTACAATGTTACTCAGACTTATAAGGAAGGAAACTATTGTACCATTCAAAATGGCGAAAACATATTTTCACGTTACAAACACCGGGGAACAAAAATTTTATAATTTTAAAGCGTGTCAAAATAAAACAGTTTATCTTCGATTATTTCTCGATCGTCGAGAGTTATTTCAACAGAATTTAACTGTTAAATATTGAAAATAATGTAACATTCAAAATGGCGGAAACCTATTTTTAGGTTACCACCATTGGGGACTAAAAATTTTATCTATTTCGTACTGTTTTCTTTTTCCAAAATTCCATTTCAATCGTTGACGATCAAACTAATCAAAAACACGTTTAGAAACTGTCTTTTCACATTTTTAAAACGACTCAAAGCGTGTAAAAATAAGAGTTTGAATATTTTCGATTATTTCTCGATCGTCGAGAGTTATTTCAACAAAATTAAACCGTTAAATATTGAAAATAATTTAAACGAAGTGGTTAAACATCATTTCCTCGCCCAAATGAAAACGTCGCGAGCAGAAAACGTGCAAACGGTTGCCTCAAACTTTTCAGAGTCTGGCGCGAATATTTTCTTTCAATTAACCGGGGGCGACGAGAAGGTCAACGCCTTCCGAAAATATTACGTTTCTAAACGCGCGCTTGCAACGAAGAGGGAATTCCAACGCAACGGAAAGAAAATAAGAAATGAACCGTGAAAAATGAATTTCAATCGTGATATCAATTTTGGAGATAAACACGGCTAAACGGGTTAATTGATACGTTTATAAAACTATTGTTTCATAGAAATAGCTTCAAAGGAAAAAAAGAAATTTCAAAGCGTTCGTTTTTGGCAATTTTTTCTAGTACGTCGGCGAAAAAACAACATTTCGAGGGAAAAGTACCAGCGATACGCGAGCACCACGAATTCCAATCGCTCGAAACGTCTCTTTTTTTTGGGCTTTTTTCCTGGGAAATTTATATTCCGCGGTTTCGATGAAATTTATAACTCCGTTGGCTCGAGCGTTTCGTAACTACGCGCGTAACGATTCATCTGTTAATACCTGTCAATTCGTAATTGCTCGGGGGGGGGGAAAAAAGGAGGCAAACATTCTTTTATCTTCTATTAACGCTCGTTCCGGTTCGGGTTACCGAAATCGTCCAAATACATCGATACGCGCACGTCCAATGGGAAATTGCGAATCTGCTTCGAATTATTGATATACGGGGACTCGAAAAAACCAGGGAAAATCGTTGCTGAATTTTTCCTGTTATTATTCTTGCATGTTTCAAATTTTCACTCACAACGGTCGAAATTTCTGACGAAAAACAAATTGAATTTTCTCTTTTATAAATATACGCCGTGAATGCAACGGAGAAATCGTAAAAAAAAAAAAAAGAATCAAATCCATCGGATGAAATTTTACACTTTCGAAAAGCTTAGTTTTAAAGGGTCCTTTGATTTGCAAAAATGGGAACTCGATTTTTTAAATCTGATGAAAAATTATTAAAAAAAATATCGAATTCCCCGGATGAAATTTTACACTTTCGAAAAGCTCAGTTTTAAAGTGTTCTTTGATTTGCAAAAATGAGATTTCGATTTGTTAAACGTCACGAAAAATTATTAAAAAAAATTTCTCCGGATCAAATTTTGAAAAGCTCA